ATTTCATCCTTGACTGCTTTCACTGTTTTTATCAGCCAGTCAATTTTCATGTCAACCGTTGCTGAGGAACTCATAGCTCTGCTTCCCCCAATTGACCCCACTGATGACACTCGATCTCTGCTACTACCTGCTGCCGGCACCGATGTCTTCTGATTTTCTTCTTCAGCATTGAATTTTTCAAAGGGACCACTGCATGCTACCAACTCATGATTCCTGTCAAGTACCTTATGCTTATTCACACATCCAGGGTGGTAAAACAGTTTCACACAAGTCTTACATCGCACTACTTGGCTCTTGATTAGCTTTTTGCAAGCAGAGCACCGATACTTATCGTATTCGCCCGTGCTATTCATCTTGCCCGGTATAGCTGGTAAATTACCGACGCTTACCGACCATAACTATATCACTTTCGACGTATATTATTGATGACTCCGCGGATTGCTAAACTTGTCACCGTGGCAGCAATAATGGCCACCCACGTACACTCGCTATGTGAAAATTTTGACGAAGGAGAAAATGCTGCTAGTATCGCTTACCCGATAGCTATCTAGCCATTCGATGGATAAAAATGTTCACCACTTAACACGGATCACATTGTATCATCTTTCACACAATTTCACAGACTTATTCCACTCAATAATTAACTATTAGGCGGAGCGATCCTCAAGCACGTCTGTCACTCACAAAAGAGAGAGAGAGAGAGAGAGAGAGAGAGAGAGAGAGAGAGAGAGAGAGAGAGCAGATACGGAAGAAAGAGATAAAAAATGGGGGTGAGCCAGAAGAAGGCCTTTAAAATCCTTCAACGTTAAGGCCGTTTCTCACGGATCGCGGGTTGGATTTTCAAAAGCGCGTCGTGCGCTGCAAGACAAAATCGCGGTAACCAGGTGCATATGTCTGTTTATCTATCAGCCTGCGATAGCGGAAAAAAGTAAAATGACGTCATTGTAACAAAAATTCAGGTTCCTTTTGGAAACGTGAACTTCAAAAAGAAGAGATCAGCCGGAGCGTGAACGAGCGGTCGCTGGACAAACAAGGTGCGAGTGACGACCCAGTTGGCAGGTGGCAGCCATTTTTTTTTCACTACCTTCGTACGGTATTAAAAAGAACGAGTAGAAAAAAAAAAGTTTCGAAAAAAAATGGCATGACCGTAGTAGAAGTCGCTGGACCAAAGCGGAAGCTGCGATCGACGTGGATGCAGGTTGGTGTCTTCAGTGAGAAAGGGGACGATAGGACCTTCAGAGAGCGTAGGGGTTGGTCAGCCTGTCTAATTCTTCAGGGACGTTTATTTTCTCGTAAATAACACGGGCCTGTACTGCTTTGCTGTATGTTGCCTTTCCGGCGTTCATACCTTCTCCATGAATCATTCTTTTACGGAAGAAAGAGATAAAAAATGGGGGTGAGCCAGAAGAAGGCCTTTAAAATCCTTCAACGTTAAGGCCGTTTCTCACGGATCGCGGGTTGGATTTTCAAAAGCGCGTCGTGCGCTGCAAGACAAAATCGCGGTAACCAGGTGCATATGTCTGTTTATCTATCAGCCTGCGATAGCGGAAAAAAGTAAAATGACGTCATTGTAACAAAAATTCAGGTTCCTTTTGGAAACGTGAACTTCAAAAAGAAGAGATCAGCCGGAGCGTGAACGAGCGGTCGCTGGACAAACAAGGTGCGAGTGACGACCCAGTTGGCAGGTGGCAGCCATTTTTTTTTCACTACCTTCGTACGGTATTAAAAAGAACGAGTAGAAAAAAAAAAGTTTCGAAAAAAAATGGCATGACCGTAGTAGAAGTCGCTGGACCAAAGCGGAAGCTGCGATCGACGTGGATGCAGGTTGGTGTCTTCAGTGAGAAAGGGGACGATAGGACCTTCAGAGAGCGTAGGGGTTGGTCAGCCTGTCTAATTCTTCAGGGACGTTTATTTTCTCGTAAATAACACGGGCCTGCAGGTTGGCACGCGGTTCTCGTTAAGGTCGATCCACACAGTGGGATTTGAGGTGAGATAAGGACCACGTGGCTATTACGTATCACGGTTACCATTAGGGTTGAAATATACGTGGTATAAGGCGAAGGGGTGAAATGTATCCGATTAAAGGGGAAAACAAAAAGAAAGTTTTCCCTTAGAGGTTAAAATATATCCCAACGACTTTTTTACCCCCAGAACGAATTGGGGCGATTTTGGACGCCGGCGCCAAAAAAAGAATCTTTCGTCGAGTGTCCCATCCAGGGACTTTTCAAGTCTCTCGAGTTAAGTCGGCATCGCCGAGTGGGATATTCGCGCTAAGGAATAAAACTTTTCGTCAGGATTTCGCAGCCTGATCGAATCTTCACGCCTTTCGACCTCTCACGGTATTCTATCCCCTATCGTGGGTACCAACAGCATCAACTACCTCACTTCGACTCTGGACCATATTACTAGTAGGGTACTTTGTGACAGAGACGTATTTTGGGGGTGTTCACCCCCCCCTCCCAGTGTTTTCCAAAAGTAAACGTCAACACGATAGACCCCTAGTCTCTGGTTGATGGGAATTTAAAAATGTACAGGTTGTCAGAAAATACAAAAATCAATGCTAACGTGACTTTAAAAATTGTGGAACCCGCTCCCGAAGGAGAAAACAATAATTTCCCCGTAACGAGTACGTATAGCGGGATAGCGAGTGTGAAAAAAAATGTCTCCCAAACTTTCTTTTAAGAGTGACTCGCCCGTCGTAAATTCACGCGTCAGGTCTTAGTCGGAAGTAAATTCATAAATGGACGGTACCGTATGGTCTCGTCCATTTTGAAGAAAAATGGGTGACAAACACAGCAGGGCGTAGTAGACTATACCCTGACCCCTTTGGTACTTTTACTGTTTTGCCCCATAAACTACCCACCAAGGATTTCTCAGGGCGAATCGGAGGGTCGAGGTTGGCCGTTACGGCGGAAATAAAGAAATATTTCCCACGAGTACTGCCATATTCCGAGGGATGTATGGCACTCGTGTTTACCAACCCCTCAAACTTCCTGACTCCGAACGAACGTCAGCGAACATGACGAAACTTAAAAGCACCTTCGACGGCCCATCTAGTAGTCCCAATCGCTGAGCGCGCACGATCCTAAGTTATCCCATGCGGAATTCGGCGTTTGCTGTTCCCTGAAATTCCATAATAAATCGATAACCCACAGACGAGATATGCCAATCGCATATATAAAACTGAAAGTCAAAGTAAAAAGAAGCCAAGAAATTGAATTAAAAAATGGAAAGTAGAAACGATCGTCAATTTCGTATATCGCAAGTAATAACAAAGTGGACACGGCGTCCCCATAAACTTGGCAAATTTATAGCACCACTTGGATACGTAAGGTATCACAGAGAGAGAGAGACAGAGAGAGAGAGAGAGAGAGAGATTGATTGATGTTTATTAGCTTTCTCAGCTATTTGTTGTACATATTTTACATGCATGTATGATACACTTAATTAACTGTACTTATAATATACTCTTTTAATATTCTC